GTAGCAAGAGATGAAACAGGCTCGTGGATTCGGTCTAAAAAAATGCACCATTTAGACAAAATTGACTCAAATGAGTGGTTCCAAGATACATATATATGGTGCTATTTACCCATATGGAAATGACCATTTCTTTCAATAATATTTTGATACCCCGCAAGTTTATTTTCCTTTATAATAACATCGGTATCAAATTAAAAAGAGCTCATGCTAAATATGTAAATAGTATGAATATTTCTCGACCTATCGATCCACTGAAGGACTTCAGGAAAAAAATCTATCATAGCCGAATCCAGAAATTAGTATTCATACATCTTATCGGTATCAAGATAGTCAAATTCAAATATATTATCAATACCTCTTTATATATAATCTGACACATGGCACTGCTAATATTATTCGTATAGACAAATTTGAATGCGAGAATAATATTATCATTAGAAATGCTACATGCAGGGCGCTCGTCCCTCCGGACGCCCCTTCGTAGCCCTGTATACCAGCCCATAGACGTCTGCACTGCGCCTGATCGTTTTTTATTATGGTATATCCACGTTCATCTCTTCTGTTGCGCCGGTTGGATAAGAAAATGAGAAGACGACGACAGATCTGCTCTGCTTTGCTCCACGCGTCGACGGTCACCCCACCTGCTCTTGCTCTTTTGGCCGCCCCGCTGCTCCTACTCTGCGGCCCGCTCCGCCATAGACGGTCACCCCGCGCTGCTCCTTCTCCTGCTCCACCGCGCCGTCCCGTTGCTTCCTGCCGCTGCTACTCTGTTGCTCGCTTCGCCTGACGGCGCGGGCACTGCCGCACCCACACGTTGCAACCGCTCACTCGGCCGCCAACTAGCCACTGAGGCCGCCGCGCAAGAAGCGTTGGGTCCTGGCGCAGAAGCCATCCGGCCTCGCCTCCTGCTACGGCTGCGGCGCTCCGATGCAGACAACGGAGGAGGCCGCACTAAGATATGATGCATGTTAAAGTGTACATTTTAAATATTTCGGATGTTTTATAGGTACGTTGTAAGTGTTTTATAAGGATGTTTGTAAAAGTAGATCGGGATGTTGCACATATGGCAATGAGCTATACACGTATGTTTTAAGTGTACGTTATAAATGTTCTATCTGCTATAGACGTATGTTGTAAGTGTTTCATCTTGATGTTTGCATATGTTTTGTAATGACTATATACGTGTTTTTAATTTTTTTTGGTGTTTTACAAGTGTTTTCGGACGTATATTGCAAATGTTCAACTATTTTGAACGTATGTTACAAGTGTTTCAACTGAATATTGCAAAAATAAATCGGGTGCTACACATACTGCAATACGTGTGACAAGGGGAGAGGGCACCAAAGGTCCGTGCGCGCGGTCTGGCGACGAGGTGTCGTTCGGACGGCGCGGGCCTCACGTGGGCGCGCGAAATGCAGGTTTGGATAAGGATATGCTGGCCTAAGCGCGAAATGCAGGTTCGGACATCCGGACAATAGCTTACCATATTATCATTCGTATATACAATTACATCCGGACACTAGCATTCCATATTATCATTCGTATATACAATTCAGGGAACGCGAGAAATACCGTGTATTAGTATCTGTCTCGGATCCGTTTACACTCCTGGCTCGTACAGTCGATTCAGACCCGTTTGCGGGCGGACGACCCTGCCCGGCCGCCCCTTGTTTTATTCCTTCCGTGGGCTCTAAAGCTATCGAGATCTTTCGACCTTTTTCCAGAGCGGGCGACGGGGACTCGGGGAGAGGGCACCGGCGGCGATGTCAACGGCGACGGAGGCGGCGAAGAGCGGCACAGCCGCGCCGGTGCGGTGCCAGCGGATCGGCTGCGACGCCGTATTCACCGACGACGACAACCCCGAGGGCTCCTGCCAATACCACCCCTCCGTAAGCTCCTCCTCCTCCTCATCTGACCTCCCCTCTCCTCCCAAGAACCTGGTACCCGGGCAAGACAATTATGAGTCACATCACTGCTTTAAATCCCAAATAGAAAGGGGTTGGCATCTGCTCGCCTGCCCCGAGTACCTTCGCCGGCCCTGCAGTTCTACCACTAGGCTGGATTCTTCAATCTTTGTGCTAAGGTTTAGGGGTGTGGCCAGAGCCTGCACTCAAGCAGGCACATATTTGGCAGCTAGATTCAACTCAGTTGTTGCTAATTCGAAACATAATGTTGGGAACTTTCAGTTTGAGGTGCCGTGCTTATAAGTTACCCGCTCTTTTCTTCTTTGTTGAGGAGAGCTTGCGCTATATGTGACGGGTGAGCAACTGGGGAATATTTTTGTCCCATGCTAGATGGGTCATGGGTCACATTACAATTCATCAGAATAGTAAAAAAAAGGGTAATGAAGTTTCTTGCCTCCCCACGGGTAGACACTTAAGTCACAGTATTGTTTAGTTTCTTCTGCTGACCAGTTGCCTTATATGCTTAAAATGTTCACTTGATCCGTCTCTTGTAGTGGTCCACTAGCTGCACTAGTTGTGCAAAATGTTTCAGTGAAATGAAAATAGTCAGTACCACCTTTTGTGACTGTTGCAATATTTTATAGTTGATAACTGTACTTGTCAAAACTCAAAAGTAAATGACTGCAAGACTGGGAAAAGAATGGTTACCTGTTCCACAAGGAACTATTATCTTGCTTTAGTCAGATTAAATTGACCAATCAGACAACCACAAACACTATATTCGAGGTGATTGTGAATTGGATTGTGACGTTTAAGCCCTTTTCATACTACTGGATACTGCCACTGAAGGTGCCTATGGAGTATTAGTGGCACATATAGGATTTTGCACATAGTAGAACCTCATACAAATAACCAGACACTACATTATGCACGCATTCCTGCTTATCTTACATGATGAATTTGAATTTTATTTTTCGTCAAGTGTGTTCCAAAGTATAGTTGCTTGCTCCACATTTATTTCACCACTACTGTTCTGAGTTCTAACAGCTCTCCTGATCATTTTATTCTGTTGCAGGCAGTAAGTTTTCCCCTTTGTTGAGAGGCATTTCTGTTTAGGAAATCATCGTCAGTTTCCTTAAGATATACGTTTTTTCAGCCTATGTTTCATGACGGCATGAAAGAATGGAGCTGCTGCAAGCAAAGAAGCCACGATTTCAGCTTATTTTTGCAGATACCTGGGTAAGGATCCCTCTTCCTACCTTGGTATGCACTGAGCCACTGACAATATTTTGACTTCAATATTAGTGTGTACTCCCTCCGTCCAAGAAAGAATGCAATTCTAGCACAGTGTCATGTACTCATGTTTTACTATCTTAAGTTTGACCAATTATAGATAAAACCTATTAATATTTATGATATCAAATAAATACCATTAAATTAATTAAGAAATGTATTTTCATAATAAACTGATTTGGAGCCATAAATGTGAATGCCATTCACTATAAGTGTGCGTTTGGATCCGGATAGGATTTTACAATCCGAGAATAAAAACCAGAATCCAATCCAAACAAGGAGGCTTCTAGGAGATTCTATTGTATGTTCACGTAATCCAAAGCAATAATCCAGTATCCTCTCTTCATGAGCTTCTTGGGGATTCTAGTATGAGAATAGACGATTTTACCCCTGCTTCAACCTTTGACTGCATACATTATGTTGAAAGAGCCATGGGTATTATAGACATTTTGCTTGTACTGTGAAACCAATGTCAAAAATATAATCTGAGAATCCAAACAAACTAGATTATTACTATTCATAATCCGGATTCTCAAAATCTTTGTCTAGTATCTGGATTTTAATAATCCGTTGAGTTTCCAAACGGGGCCTTAAATTTGGTCAAACGTGAACAACAAAACTGGCATGCAACCCGTAGTTGCATCCTTTCTTGGACAGAGGGAGTATGATGTACTCTGACATTGTAAGTATGGTTGTCTGGTTGAGGATTGACTTAAACCTAACCAATAATTGGTAATGCCCAAAACAAAATCTAACATGATGTGTGGGAAATCCTTGAGTGATCAAATCACTTGCGCTGCTTCACTAAGCCAAATTGGTGTCCCTGCAGGTTGCCCACTATCCAAATGATTCAGTAATTATCAAAATTAGGTTTCGCCAATAAGTTAGCTTTGCCAAAAAAAAAAAACTTTGCTCTGTGGGGACATGAACCAAACAGGCAAAATTTGTGCTTTGTGAAAATGCAGCTATGTTTGTTTCAAAAAAAAAATGCAGCTATGTCAGCAAGTCGTCTTCTTGTATATATTGCTGTTACATCATTGATATTCACAAATTAGATTTATGTTCTATTGTGGCTAATTTATGATAGAGCAAACATTGTATCCAAACATAGCTTTATTACTGAGCAACAACCCCTCTTTTGTATTTTGTGCTCATTTTGTTCTTTACTTACTCCTGGAGTATTTGGAGTTGCTTATACATGATAGTAACACAATAAAGTCTTTTATAAAGATACGGTATATGGCAGTTTCTCTGTAAGGCTCTGCTGCCTGAAAGGGGAAAAATCAGTTTGCAGTTGTTTGGATTCACTTCTGTGTTGTTGTTTGGGTTTCATATGACATTAAGATTTTTGTTGCTTCAGACCAATGTTATCAGATTGTCTAGTCGAGGCTAGTTGTAAGACCACTGATAAGACGGATTAGTCGTCATCAGGGCCGGTTAGTCGGTCATGTAGGGTGTGTTTGGTTTCCCGCCTTTCTTCTAGCCTAGCTAGGAAATAAGCTAGGCTAGCCTAAGCCTACCCCTAGCAAGCCAAGATGGACTTGTTTGGTTGCATACACTATCTAAGCCTGGCTAGTAGCTAGTGTGTTTGGTTGGCTGGTTTGGTTGGGATAGAGAGTCACCTCTTCTTTGTGCAGGTAAGTTTACCACCTTTGAGGCAATGTATAGAAAAAAACCTGGTGTACACCACTCGCCACCTCTCGCAGCCACCTCTTGCAATGCACATCCAGGCGCTTGAGCGCGTCGTTGCCGCGTGCCCCAACCAGTCAAGCGCCGCCGCTGCGCTAGAGGCCGCCGACGCCCATGTGTGAGACGCCCAAGGACGCGAATCCGAAGGTGCCACCAGACAGCGACTTCGAGCTCAGCGCGGTCGCGGTCCCCATCCACTCATCCCCGAGCTCAGCGCGCCCCCCATCTGGCCATCCCAGAGCTCAGTGTGGTCCCCATCCGGTGGTGTGGCGTCCCCCATCCGGTCATCCCAGTACGCGAAGCACCAGTACGCCGTCCCCATCCAAAGTGGCGTGCACGGGAGCCTCGGTGGTGATGGAGACAGTGCGGCGGCCATCCTCGGCGATGACGGAGGGCAGCACGGGCCTTCCTTGCGCGGCCCTCCGAGCTCCGGTGAGCTCGCCGACGCGCCATTCTGTAACCGCACGCCACTCCGGCCATTGCGCGTCGCTCCGCCATGCCGAGCGCGGAGATGCAAAGGGCTACCAGAGAGAGGGCTGCTGGAGAGAGGGCGCGGGGAGAGGGTGCTGGGGAGTGGGCTGCCGGAGAGGGGGCACGGGGAGAGGGCGCGGCGCCGCCAGCGGCCCGGGGCCGGGCTCCCAGGCGGAGGTTGAAGACGCGGGCGGTGAGGAGACCTCAGTTCGGGGCTTAGCCAAGCCTGGCTCCCAAAGAACGGCCAGCCTCTGCGTTTTTCTGGAGCTAGGCTAAGGGGTGGTGGGTGTCTTCCTGGAGCCTGGTTTGAGCCTCCAAACAGGCAACCAAACAGCCTGAAGGGTGGTTTCCTGGAGCCTGGTTGGGGCTTAGCCACCCAACCAAACAGGCCCGTAGTCGTCCAGGACCCTAGATGGACGATTACCCATGTATATATAGTGTAAATGTATGTAAACACCATCATAAATTGGCAAATGAAAGAGGCAAACAAAGCAAGCAGCCAAGCACTTCAGTTGGTTGATGATGAACCTGCGACTGCTGCAGCTTGAGCACGGGGTGCTGCTGCTTGAGAACCTGGAGGCGGAGATGCCTGAGAATTGAGAACCACCTGCGGCCACTGCAGCTTGACTGCTTGAGGACAGGCGCGAGGAAAGGAGCTCCTCCAGGTTCTAGGTGCTGGTGGGAGGACCAGAAGGAGGCGGGAGGAACAAGCAGCACAGAAAAAATGAGCACATTTCCGTGCGAGCGTGAAAAAAAGCAGCGGCTACGTGACTTGGGAGCATCTCCTCTCCTCCTGTCTACAATATATAATTATATACATTGGAAACCTAATAGGTCTGCTAAGACTGACCCAAAATCTTCCCTCACCACAAAAGTTACTTGGGCTGGGCAACTAGTTGTCTGGGTGGCCTATGATTAGTCGGACAATTAAGTTTCTAGTCGAGGTAATTGGATCAAGGGGTCTAATCGAGGTCCTTGTTACGATAATAAGGACAACTAATTCCGATTAGTCGTCCTATTTAACAACATTGCTTTGGACATATTATGTTCAATGCATTTCCATTACGCTGCAGAGCAAATGAAGGTATGCTTCTGATTTGAATATAGTGTAAATATGATGCTTTGCTTTTTCCTTACTCCCTTGGATCCCAAATATAAGTCAATTAGGCTTGGGCGCAAGAACTAGGGTATGGAGTACAGTGACCCTATTACCCATCAATGATTGCTTGAGTTAAGATAGATTACAAGTTGTGCTGCATTGATTAGGGTGCATCTAACTAGGTGCAGACATGGAAGAATGAGAGTAAAAGGTGCATTGGAGTTGTAATGGACTTATATTTGTGCATTTGAGAGAAGGCTAGATGGACTTATATTTGGGATCAGAAGGAGTAAAAAAAAGATGTGCTCTTTTTTTACTTCGTGTAATGTGCTAAGTTTACACAAACTATCTCTCTGTGCTTTGGCTACTTGCCAACCCAATATAAAAACCATTGGGCAGATCACCACATCCACTTTGAATATCTGATAATTTGGTGCTTGTGAATTAGCCACCTTGCTTTTCATAGTAATATGCAGGTGTATTTCATATTTGGATGCTCACATTTAATTTTTGGTGTCTTGACTTAAATTTGTAAACTGCAGTATATCTCGTATAATTATATATAGTTCTAACTATAAAAGTGCACATGTCATTTATAGACAAGGCTAAACGCCTAAACCTAACCTATCGAAAGGACCCAGATGTCACCGAGAGGAGTTTTGAATTGGCAATTATGCAATATAAAACAAACTTGAAAAAAAGTCAGTGAAAATGTGCCAAGCCAGTTGACCAATTTTCACAAAGAATATGCAAATAAAGTATAACAACCCCCTTTTGATTTCTAAATGCTTTTATAGATGTTCATTAGCAAGTTTGTGTTGCCACTACACTCACAAACAATCAAGCATCTACCTAGGCCAAAGCGAAAACTTAGTTATTAGATATAAATGTGAATATGATGTGAACCAAATTGGAGACACAAGATTTGTATCCCGAAGTTTTTTAGCTTCACCAAAGTGAACCCTGAGGAAGCCCAAAGTGACCCAAGGCCAAGATAAAGCCGAGTCTCTTTAAAACCACTTCACTCGATTCACTAGCTTGCACCGGTGGCGGAGCGTAGTGGTGGCCAACCTAGGCACCGCCCCCTTCCTCCACACTAGTCTCGATCACTGCATCTCTGGTCACTAGTTATCATCTAGCTAGTGCTGCTGCAAAACAATAGAAAACAAAAAACATGTGTACAAGGCATGTGTTGAAGAAAAAGAATACGATGGTCTGTAAGCTTTTACTTCTAGACTATGAAGGTGTTTGAGGATCACAAGCAAATGGGCTATAACTAAACTATGCTAAGCTAACAACACAATGTGCGCAACAGTTTAACAGAGCTGTATTGAGCCAAGCAAGTAAAGACAACTGAGAATGTTGGTGTCAGGCGTAAGCATGCCGTCGTGGAGGTGGAGCGTCTGGCCTCGTTGCTGACTTGTCTAGACATCATCAGTATAAATTGGGCCCCTTACTTTTGTGTCACACTCTGCCACTGCTAGCTTGATCTTTTTTCTTCCTGGGGCACGATAGCCCTAACAAATTTCTCACAGCACTCCATGAGCTAGGGTTGAGCTCACTTAAACCACAGAAATACAACAAAGGGGAGGATGTGGAGAGCTCTAATGGCTTTCTGACTGTTAGAGGATGCAAAAAAACACTAGTAGCAAGCCAAGGCAGGCGAGGATGGGTACAAATACCTATTCTCCATAAACTAGCCGTTAGAAAAAGGATGTTAAAACCAACATTGCTTTTTTCCTCTAACTAGCAAGTTGAGATTTGAAATTGTGGAACTTTGTATGAAGTAAGTCTTTGTCATCAACTGCCTCAATATATGGACCCACCAAGGATGGGGATCATAAGTAGTTAAATCCTCATTAGAATCCTTGTTGGACAAACCTGCCTAAACGATTTCCTCTGAGCCAGCACACTCACAAAATACATGTTAGTGTTTCTGTTGGTTTTTCGCCAAGTTTTCCTTGAGAACTTTAGACCTTGTATTTTAACCAATGTTGCACTCCTCTTAAGTAACACATACCTATGCTCAATCAAAGATATACAATATTTGCATCTTGAGCTTCTATATGTCCAATTAATGCCACCATTTAGTCAATCTCAACCTGAGGGCTTTCAACATCGCATGCAAGTGAGCAAATCTCCCTTGAACTAATGACTTCCACACCATGTGATCAAGACTTCACTTTTCATCCGTATAAGTCACCACAACATATGATTCAACAATTTTTTGCTAACATTGCATGGCTCATCATGGCTTGATTAGTTCCTCGGAGTTAACACATGTACTTGCTTCTGCACCTAGCCTTGGTTCCTTGGTCCTCAAGCCATTATTTGACTTTTACCTTCGCTTTGTACCTTAAAGACATAGCCTTGATTTAATCATTTACCCTGTTTTGTATCATCAACAGCATTCAACTTGAAGTCCATTTTTCCTGTATCCAGTTTATGCAAATCATCAATAACGATGATTATGCATAAGCTGCAATCTTCATTCATTTGCTAGGTGATATAATCTTAATTATCCAACCATCTTGTAAATGAGCTTCCAACTAATGAGGCCAGGGATATACTGTTATGTGACTGCTAGGATCGAGAGGGAGAGGCGGCGACGGAGCTACAGTACCCGCGGTACTGTTCACTCGAGGGAACAGTAGGAGAGAGGGCAGGAATGGCTGGCTCCCAGGGGAAGCCAGCAACTTAATTGTTGCTTCTTGCTTGATTATAACTGATACATGGTTCTCTTTTATAGAGATGACTGACTTGACTCCTAAAGAAATATCCTAACCAAATTAATCTAACATATATCTTTCCTGACAAACCAAACCACATATATCTTTCCTAACAAACCAAACAATCTAATCTAATCTAATCACGCGCTACAGTACCGCGTGGGCCCTTGGACCGGCTCTACTTGCCATAACATATACATATGGTGTCTCTTCTCTCTTTTCAACTCTATACAGTGGTAGAGGACGGATATAAATTGAGGTGTGGCACAACTATACCAATAAAGCTCCATGGTTCGATTTATAGTAAAGACATAGGAAAAAAACACTAGAAAAAGCTAAGATATAAAAGAGGAGAAGATGATGCAAAAAAAAAAAAAGGTATGGCGGAGGTCCTACCTAGCCATATTGAGTCCTCTGACACTAACTCTATACTTGTCATTTGATTATTTATAACACATCTTGTTAGGACTAATCATTTGACCAAATTTGAAACCCAAATGCCACCGGAGATTGAATTGGCATAAGTTACCAACAGCAATTGTAGGCAATGAGTTGATATAAGTGCTTGATTTCAAATCGTCGGATGGTTATGTAATTTATGATCACCACTACCGTGAAGTGACTTAGATGACCATTAAGTTGTAGGCAACATCTGACTAAAATTAATAAAGAAAGAATAAAGAAGGCTAAGTGGTAGTTGCTTATATATATCTAACTATCTAAGGTTAAGAGTTGTGGGTTATGGTTGACCATAAGTTGCTTGATTTATATTTCACTGTAGACTCTGAAGTGATTTGATTTATCAGCAGTTGACGAAAAGTGCTTCTGATGGTTAAGTGGCAGAACACACTAGTAGAAATGCGTGGAAGATTCTCTAATAAAATCTGCATGAATGGGCTCAGCTCAACATATTTATTGTACTTGGTGAATAAGTATTCAAGAATTGATGTCTTTTCTACCATTATTCGTTATGAAATAGTGTTTTTAAGCTGGTCTACGTTCTGGTTTTGATCATGGTGTTTTATCATTATAGACCAATATCATTCAACTACCTCTTACATCACCAGAGAAAGAAGTAACTGACCGCATGCTCTATTTTGGTGTAGATGCACAACAGGAAAGCATACAACCGAAAAACCAATCACAAAAGCTGTTTCAACTAATAAGCCTATAAAGGCAACACCAATCCAGTCTTCTAAGCAGGGTGTGGGAGTTGATGCGTGTGCAAGGTGTCGTCAAGGTTTCTTTTGCTCTGATCATGGTGAGTTTGTGTTAACAGTAATCTTGTTTTTGTTAAACTGATTGATTCCTATTTGCAAGTGCTAGCAGTTTAGCACCCTGCACATATGTTTGGCCATACCATATGGTCCTTTACAGTAATAATTTGGTAAAGAGCATTATTAGCTACCTATTAAAAAAATTGTTAAGTGGAGCTTGTGTTGCTATGTTTTCAGGATCACAGCCCAAGCCACAAAAACCAGCTGCTACCGATGATACAAGCAAGGAACCTATTGAGAAATCCTCTGTCCCACCGCCCAAGAAAAGGATCGATATCAATGAACCGAGGATATGTAAAAATAAAGGATGTGGTAAATCCTATAAGGAGAAGGATAACCATGATTCTGCATGTGACTACCATCCAGGTCCTGCCGTTTTCCATGACAGGATGAGAGGGGTATGTATCTGTTCAAAGTTATATATGTTGATTTCTGGCTCTGTAAATAACTATTCTCGCCATCCCTAAACCCTATGTCTGTTCTTGCAGTGGAAATGCTGTGATGTTCATGTCAAGGAGTTTGATGAGTTTATGGAGATACCTCCGTGCACAAAGGGTTGGCATAATGCTGATGCGGTGTGAATTCACACCATGCTTAAGCTATTTTCGTGTTGTATCTCTCGTACCATGTAAACACCATCGTGCTTTGATTTATTGAGAATTTCATTTGAAAGTTTGAGAAAACTTCGAGGTTTAAGCTTTGCGCATGGTGGTTGCCTAGAAATCTTACGTGATTCTCCTTGTACTCTGGACCGTAACTTGAAACAACATTTGGCGTCTGAATTTAAATTGGATTTTTACCTGTTTGATTGAAGCTGAAGGTTTTTAATATTTAACCGTGTCAAAGCCAGAGAGGATAGCGCATGTTGCGGAGCAGTAGAGGTGCTGTGTAGTGTGTTTCTTGTGTGTGTTCCATTATCACCAATTTACCATGGCTGCTGGTGAAGCCCTGTTCGTGTACTGGCTTGCTCGGTTTGAGCAGGCAGAGCCTGGACCATGCAATAGTTTGTTATGCTGCTCGCCGGGGCATTTACATATTTAATACTATTACGGATGGCATCTTATTACACTGTATCACTGACATATGAGTTCACTGACATGGTATTTTTTATACCACTCACATCGTAATAATGGTAAATGTGTAAATATTCCCTGCTCGCCTGGACCAGAAAGAAGTTGCCGATCTTCTGCTGGCACGGTTACATTTGTAATGAAACGTAGCTGCGCTCTTTACTTTGTGGAACACACAATCTCTTGCATTATTGGCTGCTGTTTTCGCGTGCATACACTTGGTATTATGTCATGGATACCTGAAGATTACTTGGAACCGGACATGGGGATCAAATATAGGTAGTACGTACTAGTAATACTTTGGACACGGCAGCGTTCACGTTCAAGGGATGCCGATGATCGGGATGAAAGGGAAGAAGAAGATGAGAGGCAGTCCTCCAAAACTGAAGGGCGGGCTGTTGCCTCCCGCGAACGGCGGAGGCCACACCGGCGTCTGCACCGCCGGGGGTGCCGGCCTCAGCTCCGGCTCCGGCGGGGCGTTCCCCTGGTGGTCATGGTCACGGTCGGCCGCCATGGTGGTCGCGACAGCGGAGCTGCCGCTAGCTGCGGCGCACCTTGTGAAGAAGGCGAGGCGGGAGCCCAAGACATACGAGGAGGCGGCGGCGGCGGGGCCAGGCGCCCGGGCCGGGACGACGCGCGCGACCGTGAGCCGCTGCGGCGCGCAGAGCTGCTCCGTGGCGCCGAGGACCCTGGCCGCGCACGGCGAGGCCACCGAGGCTGACGCTCCTGGCACGGCCACGTCGAAGTTGCCGTGCCCGTCGGTCTGCGCAGCGTGGAGCCCCGCGCCGCCGCCGTCACCGGCGCATTTCACCGCCACGACCACACCTGTTATACCAAGCACAAAAGGCACGAGCGCGCATGTGCATGTCACGCTCGGACTCTCAGGCGCCGCGCGTCGGCCTGGCTGACACGACAGGGGACAAGCGAGACCACCAGTGTACGTACGTACCGGAGAGGTCGTGTCCCGCGGCGCAGTCGAGGCAGGCGACGGAGCCGCGGAGGCGGGGCGCGGCGCTCTCGCACGGCACCGCGCTGAGCGCGACGGCGAGGAGCAGCAGGAGCGCCCCGACGAGGGGAACCCGAGGAGCCATAGGCGATCTGCTTGGACAAGGATCGGAAAGCTGGCGCGTCGACCGTTGAGACCGCCTGCTGCTCGCTTACCAGATGTGTTATGTGTACGCGCTCAACGCTGTCGCGGGTACTTGTAGTCTGAGGAGAGGAGATTACATCGGTGGGTGGCTGGTGGTATTGAGATCACGGCGGCCGGCCATCATGTAGCGTGGCCACTGGCCAACCAACTTGTCAGCCTCTACGCGGGCACTGGCGCTCAACTGAACTCATCAAGCAACGGCATAAATAGCCAGCTCTGAACCTCCCAACAAAAACAGAGAGCGGAAGACAAGTCCACCGCGGCCGCGGCCGCTCGCCAGGCTCTTCGTAGCACCACCAGTCAGCCATTGAAGCATCGGGCCCGTAGGCTGTAGCGTGGAGTAAACACACCGCCCGTATTTGGACAAGGCACGGTGGGGCAGCGGGAGCGTGGGAGATGGTTTTAGTACCACATCGGGACTAGGCAATGTGCCGATACTAATGCAGTTTTTTTAGCATTAGGGTCATCAAACATCGACATAAAACTTTCTACTCAAGGTCAAGGGTTGATGAAGACTTGAAGAGAGTACTTTTTTTTAGAATAGAATTACTTGAAGAGAGTACTAGTAGCATGGAAGAAATGGCTTTGGGCTTAATTAAGAATTTAAGATCGTACATCATCCTAATATATGGTTTCTCAAAGATGGGCTCGTGATGTCGGGCCATGCAAGCTGAGGGAGTTCTTTATTTGAAATTATAAGCTTTATTTATAATTGTGACATTTCTTATTCTTATTTCTGCGAAACACAGTACATATGCAGGTACTCATATACATGTACGAACACTCACCACACCGTGTCACCACAAGTGTCTTGCTATCAACAAACACATCGCTGAAAGAGTAGCGGTATTAAATCCTAGAGTTTTAGAAAAATACGAGCACCGAGGGTTTGAACCCGCATATAAAGGTTCCACCACGAGAAACCTAAGTGTTGCTGATAAATGCTTTGATTTGGTTATAGTTAACTTCACTTGGTTTCTGATTATCAATGACCGTCACAAGTCACCAAGGATGCTCCCTCTCACTCGTATCCACCTCAAGGCATATGTATTGGGGTGACAAAATAACTAATTTCTACTACAATCTACTCTAACACACGTGATTGAGATAAATACAAATGTAGTCAAATAAGCTCTAAGGGAAAATAACTCATTCTTATTGTAGTAAAGAATTTCTACTTGATTGTTTTTGTTTCAAAGATAGAGGGAGGCAAATATCAATTAGGAGCATCATTCGAGCTCAAATCTCGTCTCGTTTTTTGGCCAATAATCTCTACATATAGTACCCCACTTGTCATCATAGACAACATTAATTTTCAACATCAATCTTGTCACACTTTCATGTGTAGCAAACAATTTGCTATTGTTACAAAACTATGGGACACCATTCTTTTTTGGTAAAATGTCGTTGTGGGGTCAGCTAATAAACCAAACAACCCTTACTTCTTGTTCAGCTTCTCCATCCATCTCTTAAAGATGGTGTCATTCATGGAAATATTTTTGCAAGGAATCTTTATATTTATTAAATTAAGATAAGGTGGTTCTAGAATGGCTTTTGTTGCCCGAGTGAAGCTGTTTGGGACATGTGTAAGGATATGCTGGCAATTGGACCTGAGTTGTCGAATAGAGGAAGGTCAAGGCCAAGCCAATGATACAAAGAGCTTTGAACTACAAGCCGAAGGGGATATCCCTTGATTCCCCTCTACAGCTCTTCTCCCTTAGTTCTATGTTTCACTTGCTACTTCTCTGATCCTCGGTGCTTTTCTTCCAACCCTAGCTACACTACTGCTAACAATTGGTATCCTAATTTCCTCTAGATACCAACAGTAATCCAATTCGTACATGGACCCTTGTTCTATGGCCCCTTTGTCACTTTTATTGGACCCTTGTTGCAGCTTACCGACAGTAATCCAATTCGTACATGGATCAACAAGACTAGTAAGTCTGTAAGTGGGGGTCCTATACATGAATCAATGGCGCCAAGTAAACAAACATTCTTCGGAGTCTACTAATTGCTAAGTCCATGTAAGACGTAAAACATAGTGAAGGTAGTGATCAACCATGTGATGGAGGAAATTCTTGTTGCTAGAGTTGCATCATAATTAGAGTCACTACCATAACTACGGTTAGGAAGCCAAATGGTCATTTTGTTCCACGTGTCTTTTTCTATATATCCTAGTCATATTGAATGTGCCTATTTACCCCACCTAAATGAGTTTTCCATTGACCCCAGCAAGCTGGTGGATGGAGAGTGTCAGAGCACCTCAGGGTCGGAGGACAATGTGCCCATGTAATTCATCACTCTAGGTTGAACAAACTGCCCATGTAATTCATCACTCTAGGTTGAACAAACTGAGTTGTTCAGCAAAAGCATCATGTACTTTGCAGGGTTGCAGCCGTGTGTTTCACACGGTGCTTTCGTTTCGCTGAAAAGTCAGGCTAAAAAGTACCTTTCGCTGATTTGTTACGAGACAAAAACGCTATACCATAGCTGATAAGTCCGAAACGAACAGGATGGGAAGATGCAACTGCTGTGCTCATGTTACGAGGTTATACAAGAACATGTGGGCAAACTTTGAATCTGCCACCCGCAGCCTGTAGCGCGTCAACGAAGGAAATCTCGATGCTGCTGTCCGTCGTCGCGAGATGCTTCGCTTTTCCACATTTGTCATCTACCCCGCGGTAATGGGGTAACGGCGTAGCGCCTCCCGTGAAGTGTACGGTGTACCCGACCCGCTTCGCCGTCGTCGCCTATTCAAATCCGTCACAGCCAGGCGCCAGCGGACGCTTCCATACGCCCCCAACAGGCAACAGCCACGACGCGGCGCTGGGTTGGCCGGCCATGTCCTTCCTCGCCGCGCCGCCGGCGGCACCGCCAACGGGGGCACCGCGCATGCTCCGCGCGGCCGGTCCTTTGCGCCCGCCTTCGCCGTGCCAAGGCCTGCATTATTACGCGGCGCGGGGGACGACGACGGGAGGGGGAGAAGCCGGCTGCGGCCGGCGGCCGCAGCTGGTGCTGCGGCGGTGCTCCCCAGCTGGCGAGTCCATGGCGGCGTCCGGGGACGGCGGCCTCTCCAGGTTGCTTTACCTTAATTCACTGTTGAAATTTCCCCTTTTCAGCTACGAAATGGTTCGAGGGACGGGGTTGTTGTTGAGCTAGTAGCTAGTACTACAAGCTAGTATGATGAGTTCTTGCTTGGCGGCGGCGGCGGGTATAGCATTAGGATCCACTCGTCAAGTTTGAGACTTTTTGCCGAAGCTGCTTGGGAAGATATAGTCCCAGTTAGCTTACAGCATATCCAATTCTAATGAGTACTGACATCTGCTGGGACATCTTCCCAAGATATTTCAGTTCCGAGCCTCCTGCTCTAGTTCTAAAAGTAGAGTTTATATTAACGCTAAGTTCTGACCTTAGAGGGAAGAATCACATCAAAGATTCACCGAGATATATTCATATTAGATATTTGAAATTAAGTATATCATAAAAGAGATATTTATATGCCAGATCAAATTGATAGATCTGAAGTGCATTATTAACCTTGTAGTAGAGGGGTAATAAAAAGCAAAAGTTAATAGTCCTAAATGGTAAGTACTAGTAGATTAAAGTTAAAAAAAAGGACTAGTAGATTAAGTAAGCATCAATATCTTTCTATGGAAACTTAGTTGAACAATAAGTATGATAATCCGTTCTGGCTCAGCCTTACAGGATCAATCATGTTTCTTTTCTGCAGCTTTTGTATAATTGAAGGTCCAGAGACAATCGAGGACTTTGTTCAAATGCAATCGCAAGAGATTAAAGACAACATCAAGAGCCGACGTAACAAAATTTTCCTTCTGATGGAAGAGGTTTTCAGTTTTGCAGACTGTGTTTCATTTCATTTGTCCAATTCTAGCTAAGTAGCCATCCATTTGTAGCTTTGCTAAGACAACATTGTGAAGTTCTCTGCATGGAAAAATTAATCAGGTTAGACGATTGCGAGTGCAGCAGCGTATCCGAACTTCTGAAAGCAAAGATGCCAACACTGAAGAAAATGAAATGCCTGAGATTCCATCAACTATTCCATTTATGCCTGATGCGGTGACCAACAGCACTCATCTGTTTTTTTGAGAAATGATCACATTGGCATCTGGAGTTGTTCTAACTTCTATTAACTTGTCTTTTTCCTTTCCCCAAAACAGTCACCAAAGACTATGAAGCAACTATATATGACATCATTCTCTGTCATATCTGGGATAATCATTTTCGGAGGCTTGGTAGCCCCAGTAGTAAGTACACGCGTCGCTTTATGGTTGAACTCCCTATTATTTTTACCAGAACCTCTTCTCACTATTAGGTCATATAGTAAGTTTTCCTAAAGGAGATGCCTTTCGATGCAGCTTGAACTGAAATTAGGGCTGGGTGGCACATCTTATGAAGATTTTATAAGGACCTTGCACTTACCTCTTCAATTGAGGTGCTTTGAAGAACCTGTCTCTTATAGTGAATTAGCAGTACTTAGAGAAGTGTTTGATACATTTTTGTTGGCTGCTGTTCAGTCAGGTAGATCCCATAGTGGCATCATTTTCAGGTGGAGCAGTTGGTGTTATCTCAGCTTTAATGTTGGTTGAAGTGAGAAATGTCAGGCAGCAAGAGAAGAAAAGATGCACATATTGCCATGGGACTGGTACAAACAAAATACTTTTCAACTATCTGACCCAAACATAGCTCAGCCATTCCTAATGCATGATTCACCTTCCAAATAAAAAAATGCTATACTAACACTAACTAGCTTGAGCCTTACATTTACTCTCTTGACTGATCTTGCTTCTGCAATATAGGATACTTGCCATGTGCTCGCTGTTCTGCTAGTGGGATGTTATTGAACACAAAGCACTTTTCATTATTGGGGCATAATATGTGGTCAATGAAAGGAAAGTGTCAGAATTGTTCTGGAGCTGGAAAGGTATTCTATATATTGCCATTGTGTTTCACAATAGCCAGTTTGATGCATTCTAGAAGATTTGAACAATAGAAAAGTTTATCATACTTGAGGTACTGCCTTTAGGTTAAATGACGAGGTGATACCGCAGATCAAACAAGTAATTAATGCTTAAATTCAATGCTGCGCAGAGATTGTCCGAGTCTTGTTCAAACTAAAAAGTGTTGCATAGAGTTTTTGTGGGAATGCATATGGGAATTCCTGGTTGCAGATTAGAAAGGGCATTCCATATCATCTTCCACCAGTAACATGTTTGCCTCTATAAAGTATAAATAAACTTCATTTATTGTTGCATCTCCATGTTTCCCAGGTGATGTGCCCGACGTGCTTGTGCACAGGAATGGCGATGGCAAGTGAGCATGATCCACGGATTGACCCTTTTGATTAGGTTGATATGACAATATGTTTTCCTTTGTCTGTTTTGTGGCGAATATGTTACCGATAACAGCAGTAGATTCATGCTTGTATGTACGTTCGGTTTGTGACAAGTTGAATCAATCTCGCCAAGGTTATTATACAGCTGTAGTCCACTTGGTGTGCTTGATATAATATATTGTTCCAACTCCTAGCATAACCGGACAGTTTTGGCCGAGTGGTCTAAGGCGCCAGTTTTAGGCTCTGGTCCGAAAGGGCGTGGGTTCAAATCCCACACCCATCATTTTTTTGATATTTTTAAATGTCATTCTTTTTTTTTTAATTTAAAAGTTGCTATGTTAAAGCCATACACAATCTATCTAGTTTTTTTAATACTACAGAATAAAAGGGGTCACAACAACAGCGTAAATCCTCGACAAAAGATTTAGGCTCTGGTCCGAAAGGGCGTGGGTTCAAATCCCACAGCTGTCATCTTTTTTTGATATTTTTAAATATCATTCTTTTTTTATTTTATTTAAAAGTTGCTATGTTAAAGCCATACACAATCTTATCTAGTTTATTACTACAGAATAGAAGGGGTCACAACAACAGGGTAAATCCTCGATGAAATTTTATACCGGTGGTCCATCTATTAATCCTGTTGCGCGATTAGAAAATTATCGTTCCTTCAAACGACAAAAAAAAATGTGCATAGCGTTTGGTTGAGAGAAAAGTTATGAACCCGTTTTCTGTTTGATTCTAGATTGACCCGTTTTCTGTTTGGCGTAGGACACCAAAAAGTGGGATGAGACAATGACGTACAAGATCCACTTGCTAGATGAGACAATGCCCACGCTCCTGTGCCCCGTACTAAAGTTTTTGTTTTTGTTTTTGTTTTTTGGGGTAGGGGGTGCAGAGTCATCCCGCATCTAAGGGAATATTTTCTAGTGAGATGTCACTCTAGCTTGACTTTGAACCAAACACCACTAGAACTAGGTCGTCTCGTTTCATCTCACTTGGTCCCTCCAACCAAACACTAAGTGTCGCACCCAACGGGGTGACGTAATAGAACGATCCTACCACCCGCCACGCTGGACAGGTCGCCCCCAGGTGTTAGCATGGTAGACTGTGTCACACCATGTGGTTTATATCTAACTCAAACTCATGCCCTTCGTGTCTCATATCTAGCTCGAACTCATGACCCATACCAACACAAGTTAGGACCGTGTCTAGCTATTGGCGGTCCTTAACGACCAAATCCGACTGCCAATTAAGATTCAAAAAGGGGAGAAATAGATAGACTTATACACATATGCCTTTACCACTAACATAATTCCACATGTATTTGGAAGATCAATGTTTTGCAGGCTTATGCACGAATACAGTGGAAAATAAACCAAAAGGCACAACCCAAAAAGCGTAAAGCAGATTTGCGCAAAGGAATAAAGAAGAAAGGCCCACTTACCCAGACAATTTGGGCGCCAAACCACCCAAGGAGCAACCTAGGCCCAGCCAGTACCCCGCCACGCGAAGGCGGTGGCCAGAGGGGCCAGCCAGGGTGTGGTCGCACCCTGGGTGCGCTCGCACCCCGGGTGCGCTCGCACCCCAAGCGCCACTTCTCGGGCCCACCTTCGGTCAGGCGGTGCCATTAATGCTCCTAGGACGGTTGCATGCGGGATCTCTTCCGAACATTCCCTACTAACCGTCCTTAGAGTAGTATAAGAGGAGGGGGAGAGCCCCTCTCTCAAAACACACACCATTTGGAGCTACACCTCACTACCACCTCTTGTACTTTTACCTTTAATAGTCTTTTGAGAGCAAGGCAAAGCTACCTTGGAGGCCTTGACTCCTTAGAGAATTCTTGGTATGAATAATATGAAGAGTTCTTCCATAGTCTTGTTCTCAATTTATCAATATAGTCATACTTATGAACTAGAGTATAGTCTTCATGTTATGATCTTGACATATGAACTAGCATATAGTTTCTATGTTAAGAACTTAGCATATAGAACTTTAGCCTTAACTATTCATATAACTTATATGATTAGAATTAGAGCTAAGTTGAGGTGGCGATTCATCGTTGTCGGGGACCAATACTAGGGTACCCGAAGAGGAGGGGCTAATGACCATCAACATTGATTCATCCAAGCGATCAAGAGCATGACTACAACTCCAACCGACCCCCTGGTGCGCAAGCTCCGCCTCGCCCAACCCTTGGGTCTACGCTCCACCTCGCCCGACCCTAAGGCTGTAGGCTCGCCTCGCCCAACCCTTGGGTTTGTGCTCTATCTCGCCCGACCCTTGGGTTTGCGCTCCGCCTCGCTCGACCCTTGGACCTACGCTCCGCCTCGCCTGGCCTCTAGGGAGGGGCTATGCCTCGCCTGACCTCAAGGCCACAGGCTCCACCTCGCCCGACCCTTGGGTCCACGCTCTGCCTCGCCTGACCCTTGGGTCCGTACTCTGCCTCGCTCGACCCTTGGGTCCGCGCTCCACCTCGCTCGGCCTCTGGGGGAAGGCTCCACCTCGCCCGACCCCAAGGCCACGGGCTCCGCCTCGCCCGACCCTTGGGTCCGCGCTCCACCTCGCCCGGCCTCTGGGGGAAGGCTCCGCCTCACATGACCCCAAGGTCGCAGGCTCCATGTCGCCTGACCCTTGGACCCGCGCTCTACCTCCCTCGACCCTTGGGTCCGCACTCCGCCTCGCCCGACCCTTGGGTCCATGCTCTGCCTCGCCCAGCCTCTGGGGAAGGACTCTGCTTTGTTCGACCCCGAGGCCACGGGCTCCGCCTCGCCCGACCTCTGGGGGAGGACTCGCCTTGCCTGACCTTGGGGTCGGGGGCTCCGCCTCGCCCGACGAAGACCCATACCGCCGCCAACCACTCCAGTCCAAGCGTATGGGCCTGGGTCAAAGCTCTAACATCAGGGAAGAGACCGACATACCTCGATGTAACCCATGGTCACGACAGGCCATACCTGAGGGTTCACGTCAGGAACAGAGTCGGACGTACCGATGATGTTCTGCCTAACCCCCGTACGGACACTGGCGGGCGTGTCAGTTCACCACGACGTCCGCTAGGACAGAGTGGAGCGTCATGATCGCGAGACGACGCCTGTGCATGGCACCAAGTGACGGACAGGGACGCGATGTGGACCTGTCCTTGTTGACGTCTACAGGGTTGGTAGGACCCGCATGAAGGAGAAAAAGGACCTAGGGCTCCTGGAGGACTTCTTCTCCTTCTCATTCTTCCTCTCTTCTCTCCGTTGTAAGCCAGGCTTTCCCTTGGCCTATAAAAGGGAAAGCAGGGCGCCCCTTAGGGGACACGCTCTCTCGATCGACTGGAGGCATCACAATCCAGAACCTGATCAACTCATCAAACCTCGAACACACAGCTGAGCAGCGACCGAGCTCTCGGCACCCACTCATTCTTTCCACCAGAGACTTAGGACCTGTCCCTCTCTCGCCCGTTTGTAACCCCTACTACGAACTTTTAGTGCTAGTAACACGAGCAGCAGCAACAAACTGGATGTAGGGACATTCTGCCCGAACCAGTATAAACCTCATGTCCTCTTAGCACACCATCCGAGCCAGACACGTGATATTAGAAATTTACTCGTTGGTGTTTACTCGAAACACCGATAGTTGGCGCGCCAGGTAGGGGCCTTTTGCACATCTCGACGAACACACCAGGCCTCGGATGGCTAATCTCAACGTCAGCTGGGTCTCGGGTGCGCACGTGCGCTTCGGGGACCTGGACTTCATCGTCACGACGGAGGGAGAGCTGGTGATGGCTCCCGCCACCGTCCAACCTCTCCACTCTAATGGCCTCGACGCAATCGTTGAGGCGCTTGAGGAGCTACGGCTGCACGCACCGGAGGCCCGCGCCCCCGAGAGCAGCCAGCTCCTCGGCTTTGACTACGGAAGGTTAGAGCGCCAGCTCGGTGCCTTCCTAGGACCACGACCATCCTGGGAGGACCTGCGCCACCTTACCTTCTCGTTCGCCAATGTCATGGCGTAGCTTGTCGGGGGAGAGCCCCTCTCCCCGGAATACCTCATCCGGAGTGCCCCGACAATGCTCCCGTTCGATCTCCGCAACGCCGCATAGACCATTGGCCACCTTGTGGTGCCACACATGCCTCCATCCCCGCGAATGACGAGTTCGTGGGGGTGACCAAATTCGTCGCGGAGTCTTTCCATGACCTCCTTGCTGGAGAAACAGAGTCGCCCTCCACCTCTGACTCCAGCAGGGGAAGCCATCACCCCTCTCATGAATGTTTCATGGTAGGTACCCCGGATAGACACGTTGAGAGCTTCCATGAGGAAGAAGCTACCCCAATGAACGACCTAAATGACGAGGACGAGGGGGAGGTAGGGGTCCACCCCGCCTGTGGGTGGAGCAGCTAAAGGCCCGGCACCTAGAGCTCAAGGAAGCGTGACTCCAGCTCGAGCAGGAACGCGTGGAGCTCGACCGCGAGATCGAGCGCCACGAAGACGGTGGGCGCACGTGCGCCATGGCCCGCGACATGAACCAGAGGATCATCGAGGACGATGAAGCCCTCCCACACTTCACTCGCGTGAGCCAGAACATCGCTGCTGCGGCTACCTTGCTCTGGGGGCTTCTAGGGCCTACAACGCTCGAGGACCGACGGGCCCATTGTGAGATTTGCACGCTGCTCGAGCGTGCTGCGACGCAGCAGGTCGAGAGCTCGCTGTCTCGGCGATGCGAGCTCGACGCCAGCCAGCGCATGCCCTGAGAGCGACCCGACAAGGACGCGTCAGTCCACTAGGCGCCACAAGGTGGCAGGCCACGTATCACGGTTCTAGTGCATAAGCATCTCTACCGCAACCGTGACGCATGCGACACCCTCGACGCCCGTAGGAGTACCCACGGTGATGCGGGGAGGGGGTTAGCCGTGGCTACCACCCTCATCGTGGCGGACGCTATGATAGCGGCGAGGACAAAAGCCTAAGCCCCGGCCTGCCAGGACCTTAGGCCTTCAGACGACACATCCTCAACGCCGCCTTCCCGCCAAGGTA